TCAAACAAGGGTACGTGTAACCCCGTAACACTTTCCCCCATTAAAACTGAAATTACCAAAATTTCACATTTAACTGTTGCCTCAGACTACGCTCGCGTGTCTGAGGCACCGTTACGTCTTTAAAAAAATCTTTGTACAGTCTCCGATTAATGAGCTCTGTGTCTATTCTCAAAAACACCCAGCCTAGCTGGTTCCGAGGGCGTCTGCGGGCAAAGTCCTTCTTCTTCTGCACGGAATACTTCTCCGGGCAGTAACTCTGCGGATTCACGAGAAGCCAGCCCATTCCAAGCCCTTGACAACTGAGCGCAACACACCGCGCCTGCACCGGTCGACCGATTTTCTCGTTGAGGACTCAAAGTAAGTCGACTACGAGTCGGATTTTCCTTTCCCAGCATGGAAAGAAAAGGAGGGTGAGGTGCGCCAACGGCGAAGTGAGCCCTGCTTGAACCTTGCAAACACATTGTCCGTTTGCCGACCTCTCGACATCCGGGGGAAGTGGTATCATTATTAATCGCCTCGACAAGGCACCGGAGCATAGTTGGAGGCTGTGTACGGGGCGACTCGCATGCGCTCGTATCCGCGTTCGGTCCCTGATAGTCGTGTGGGATACGGCTTTCGCTCGGAGAATCCCGCTACTGAAGCGAAAGACGCGATTACTGATTCGTTTGGCGTATACGTAGTCGCCCAACGGCCGCTACACAAGCTGAGCTTGATCAGCGGAAAGTTCTCCGAGCTTGCTTTTTGGTACCTCAAGAAATACCAAAGAATAAGTTACTGCGCTTTCTTAGCTCAGAGAGGAGGCGCTCCTGTTCCTGCAATGCGGACTAAACCTGTGGTCCTCGCCCCCGGCGAACCTGCCGCAGATGGGAAAATGCTTTTTGGGCGATGGGTGCAGCGAAATCGAAAACCTTTCTCGCTGTCTATCTTACAGCGGGACAAAAAAGTGGGAGTGCGCGAAGGGCGCCATCTTCATCTGAGTTTGCCAAACATATAGCTCAACGCCGTCCCACTGCGTATTGTCGCCCTGCGACACATGGAAGCATCCATCACGCTCCCGCGAACCCTGGGATATCTCACACAGCTAGATGTACGACCACAGCAGCTCAGGCCAAAGCTTGACCTCTGCTAATGGTCCTCCGGCTTCCTGGGCTACTGCCTAGAAGCGCGGGGCGCACGTGGACGCGAAGCGTCATGATTCTTCTGATCATAAGTGTCCACGACGTCTAAGCGGTCTTGCCGATGTGGCACCTCATACTCCCACCGTTCTCGAAGTCGAGGTTTCCCCGCCACTTCACAAGGTATTGGGTTGGACCCTGCCGATGACGTCGACCCACAAGGCGTTCCACGTGGGAGAGGACATTACCATTCTCATCGAGAAGAGTTGGTGGCGGACCTTGACTACTGGGTCGATCGCCGTCCGGTGCCTCGCGATGCTCCTCGAGCTTTGGAGGGCAAAGTCCGTCATCATCAGCACTCCGCTGAGCAGCTTGCCGAGGTCCCATACCGCTGTGCGGAAGACCTCGAGAGGTTGGAGCACTTTGTGCACCGTCTGCCTCACGTTGAGGATTATCGCGCTCTGTCGTAGTGGATCCTAGTCTTTGAGCAGACGAATACGTAAATTTGTGCGACGGTGGAGCGCCTTGCGCCGTTGCGGACGGAAATTGTTGCACACCGTGCTCAGAACCAGTTTAGCTGCTGGATGGCCAACGCTTACGGTGCCAACGCTTCCGCGCACACTTTTGCAGAAGCAAGCCCACATAAGACACCGAGTGTGTGCGCGTCCTTCTCGAAAGGTTCAGCGTATACGCAGGGCCTTGATTGGCCACGATTTAAAAGGTTCAATATTCCGTGGACG